TATTCTCCAACTATTTCCATTGCAAAAGCTGTGAAATCGACTTCCAAAAGCCTTGTGTCCTTAGTTGCTTTGAGTTGTTACACTTGAATTTCCTTGAGTCTAATGCACCACCAAATCTCATGTACACCTCAATTTTCAAAACCCTGAAACTAAATATATATATTTGCTGCCAAATGGAATGTGCAAGAAGTGGCGAAAAATGATTTTTTTTGGCCCAAAAAGGAGTACGGATGCATTGCAGTTGCTGCTTGCTTAGGATTCCTTGGACCAAAGCATCCAGCAAGGGAAAGGGATACCCTTGGGTTCCAGTCCTCTCTTGGTGAGGAAGCCTTCTCCCTGTTGTATCATTACTAGGCATGTGCAATCCATGCTTCAAAATGGTTCTAAAGTAATGTATTGTCGAAGGCTTTCATGGCCGGAATCACTGGGTTGTTGTAGGTTTTTCTGGGCTATATGGCCATGTGCTAGAGGCATTTTCTCCTGACGTTTCGCCTGCATCTATGGCAAGCATCCTCAGAGGTAGTGAGGTCTGTTGGAAGTAGGAAAATGGGTTTATAGATCTGTGGAGTTCACCTACCTCCAGAGAGCATTGAGGACTTAAACAATGATGAATCTGGACCAAACTTTGCATGAATATACTCAATGTGCCCAAATGTGAACATTGATGGAGTTTGGGGAAGATAGATCTTGACATTTGGGAGTTGTAGTTGCTGGGATTTATAGTTCAATCAAAGAGCACTCCGAACCCCACCAATGCTGGAATTGGGCCAAACCTCCCACACAGAGACCCCCATGAGTTGAAGGAACTCACTGGTGCAAGCCTCCCTCCAGCCTTGCATGCCCTCCCTCGCCCACACATGCGCACCACGCTGCAATGCGCCAAGCACACCTGCTCTCCCCTCCCTGCGTGGAATCTCAGAAACAAAAAGTCCTTTGTCCCACCCTGGTCATTCCACAGATATATAAACCCATTTTCCTACTTCCAACAGACCTCACTCCCTCTGAGGATGCTTGCCGTAGATGCAGGCAAAACGTCAGGAGAAAATGCCTCTAGAACATGGCCATATAGCCCGGAAAAACCTACAACAACCCAGGTTCTAAAGTACTTACAAAACTAAAGTTGTGGTGGTAAACACTAGGGGGTGCTGGTGCATTGCTTCTACAGTGTTGCTAAAGTTCCGGTGGTGAAAATTTCAGAACTCTAACAAAACTTTCATTATAAATGGCAGTTCCTAATGGGTTCTGTCATTAAAATCACCAATAATGAAATAATAATGAAATTTTGAAAGTTTTGTTAGAGTTCTGAAATTTTCACCACCAGAACTTTAGCAACACCATAGAAGCAAAGCACCAGCGCCCCCTAGTGTTCGCCACCAGAATTTAAGTTTTGTAAGTACTTTGGAACCATTTAGACCAGGAGTCCTCCAACTTTTTAAACAGAGGGCCAGGTCACAGTCCCCCAAACTGTTGGAGGGCCGGATTATAATTTGAAAAAAAAAATGAATGAATTCCTATGCACGCGGCATATATCTTATTTGTAGTGCAAAAAAAAAAAACACTTAAAAACAATACAATAAAAGAATAACAATTTTGACAAATATAAACTTATTTTATTTCAATGGGAAGTGTGGGCCTCCTTTTGGCTGATGAGATAGGATTGTTGTTGTTGTTGTTGTGTGCTTTCAAGTCGTTTCAGACTTAGGTTGACCCTGAGCGAGGGCCGGATAAATGACCTTGGAGGGCCGCCCCTGGGCCTTAGTTTGAGGACCCCTGATTTAGAAGCATGGATTGCACATGCCTAATCGTTACCTGTGGTTGCCGCTTGCAACCTTTGTGCCTGCGCTTTGGGGGGAATTGGAAGGTGCACCACCACCATGACAACAACAACAACAAATAGTATTTTGGAAAATGGCAAATGGAAGACTTGTGGAAATATAACACACACACACACACCAGGAAACACAGCATGTTGCAAAGGCAGTAATTATACAGAGCAGGCATGGGCAAACTTTGGCCCTGCCTTCAGGTGTTTTGGACTCCAACTCCCACCATTCCTAATAGTCTCACGCCCTTTCCTTTCCCCCCTCAGCCGCTTAAGCTGGTGGGGTTCAGAGTGCTCTTTGGTTGTAGGTGAACTATAAATCCCAGCAACTACAACTCCCAAATGTCAATGTCTATCTTCCCCAATCTCAATCAGTGTTCACATTTGGGCACATTGAATATTCATGCCAAGTTTGGTCCAGATTCATCATTGTTTAAGTCCCCAGTGCTCTCTGGAGGTAGGTGAACTACAACTCCTAAACTAAAGGTCAAAGCCCACCAATCCTTTCCAGTATTTTCTGTTGGTCATAGGAGTACTGCATGCCAAGATTGGTTCAATTCCATTGTTGGTGGAGTTCAGAATGCTCTTTGATTGTAGGTGAACTACAAATCCCAGCAACTACAACTCCCAAATGACAAAAATCAATCCCTCTCCCAAACTCCATTTGTGTTTACATTTGGGCACATTGAGTATTTGTGCCAAGTTTGGTCCAGATTCATCATTGTTTGAATCCACAGTGCTCTCTGGATGTAGAACTACAACTCCCAAACTAAAGGTAAATGCCTACCAAGCCCTTCCTGTAGTTTCTGTTGGTCGTGGGAGTTCTGTGTGCCAAGTTTGGCTCAATTATATCATTGCTGAAGTTCAGAATGCTCTTGGATTGTAGGTGAACTATAAATCCCAGCAACTACAACTCCCAAATGACAAAATCCACCAGTATTCAGATGTGGGTGTATTGGGCATTTGTGCCAAATTTGGTCCAGTGAATGAAAATACATCTTGCATATCAGATAATGTTCTGGTTGGGGGTCACCACAACATGAGGAAATGTGTTAAGGGGTCATGGCATTATGGTAAGGTTGAGAAACACTGATATAGAGCATGATGTGCACATAACTGCAGAAACCTGGTAGGGCCACAGTCTGAGCCCCACCCCCTTGACCCCCCACCCCACTGCATGACCTCTTCCTCCCCCAAAGGCAGACCAAAGGCAGGTGTCCAACTTCAGGTTTATTATTAGGCATTGCTTGCTAATGCTGAGAGTACAGCATGCGGGGGCGGGGTGGGGGGGTTGTCACGTGCATCCAGACATCAGTGGTGGAGCATGGCCTGGGCTTGATGCCCCCCACCCAAATTGTGGCTGCATGGAAAAGGGGGTCTCAAGCGACCCCATAAAAGGTCCCGCTCCTTCAGCCTCTGCAATTGAGGGGCACGACAGTCTCTTGAAATGGCAGGTCAATTTGGGGAGGGGGACGGGGAGGGGGAGACGTACCATCCAGAAGATATCCCTTCAGAGGGATATATGCTCAGACCTGTCCCAGGGCACAGACAAAGGGGCATCTCTATTACCACCCCCCCCCCCCGCCCTCAACACACACATAGACAAGGGAACACACAGGGTCACAATTGGAGACCCCCCCTCCCCATCTAAAATGCCCCCCCTCCCAGTCTGGAGCATTGGGGTCACAGACGGGATAATAATAACAATGATCCCTTTGGCCTCGGGTGATATGTCTGGGGTCACAAGGGGACTCTAACCCATATTGGAACCTTATTATTATTATTATTATTATTATTTGCTATGCGTCACGATGACCGCTCTCCCTGCAGGCAGGCGGCCTGTCTGTCCATGAGCAGCGGTCTCTCTGTCCAGTCCGCCGGCCGGAGGGCTCTCCAAGGCGGCCAAACGCCCTTCCCGCCCCTGTCGGGCCAGCCAACAGCCGAGCGAGTGAGCGAGCGGGCAACGGCCGGCCCTCGAGTCCACTCATCCGCCATGGCCGGAGCGGCCCTCCTCTTCCTTCTCGAAGGGACCCTTCCCACAAGGTGGCGGGCCAAGAGGGGCCGGCAGAGGCTCTCTCCCAGAGCGCCCCCAACGAGGGGCCAGGCTCAGCGGGGCATTAGCTGCCGGGGTCCGAGGAGGAGCAGTGTCTGTGCAAGTCCGCCGCCAAGGAGGAGGAGGAGGAGGAGGAGGAGGGAGGGGGGACGGCCTGGGGGAGCTGGCCCGGGAGGGAGAGGCGCCGGGGGGCCAGGGGGGGTTCCACCAGCAGCACAACATCACTGTCCTGGCTGCTGCAGGGGGGCAGCGCAGAGGGGTCCAGGCGCCCAGGCAGGAAGTCCGGGACCTGGAAGGGAAACGCGGGAGTCAGCAGAGTTGGCGGGTAGAAGAGACCCCCAAAGGACACCCAGTACAACCCCCTTCTGCCACAAAGACAGGCACAAGCTTATCTATCCATCTATCCATCTATCCATCCATCCATCCATCCATCCAACCAACCATCTATCCATCTATCCATCTATCCATCTATCCATCTATCTATCCATCCATCCATCCATCCATCCATCCATCATCTATCCATCATCCATCTATCATCCATCTATCTATCATCTACATCTATCCATCCATCATCCATCCATCTATCCATCCATCCATCCATCCATCCATCCATCCATCTATCTATCTATCTATCACAGGCCTGGGCCAACTTGGGCCCTCCCTCCAGGTGTTTTGGACTTCAGCTCCCACCATTCCTAACAGCCTCAAGCCCCCTCCTTTTCCCTTTCCCTTTCCATTTAATCAGCTGAGGGGGGAAAGAAAGGGGACTGAGTCGGTTAGGAACGGTGGGAGTTGCAGTCCAAAACACCTGGAGAAAGGTCCCAAGTTTGACCATGTCCTATCTATCCATCCATCCATCCCGTCTATTCATCTAGTTATCCATCCATCCATCCATCCATCCATCCATCATCTATCTATTCATCTGTCAGTCTGTCTGTCTATCTATATATACATCCATCCATCCATCCATCCACCCATCTATCTATATCCATCCATCCATCTATTCATCTATATATCCATCCCATCTATTCATCTATTTATTCATCCATCCATCCATCTCTCTATCTATCATCTATCTATCTATCTATCCATCTATCTATTCATCTATCTATTCATCTATCCATCCATCCATAATCTATCTATCTATTCATCTGTCAGTCAGTCAGTCTGTTTGTCTGTCTATATATCCATCCATCCATCCATCCATCCATCCATCCATCCATCCATCCATCCATCCCTCCCTCCCATCTATTCATTTATTTATCCATCCATCTATCATCTATCTATCTATTCATCTGTCAGTCTGTCTATCTATATACACATACATCCACCCACCCATCCATCTATTCATCCACCCACCCACCCATCTATCTCTATCCATCCATCCATTCATCCATCCATCCATCTATTCATCTATTTATTCATCCATCCATCCAATTCTCTATCATCTATCTATCTATTCATCTATCTATTCATCTATCTATTCATCCATCCATCCATCCATAATCTATCTATCTATTCATCTGTCAGTCAGTCAGTCTGTTTGTCTGTCTATATATCCATCCATCCATCCATCCATCCATCCATCCATCCATCCATCCATCCATCCCTCCCTCCCATCTATTCATTTATTTATCCATCCATCTATCATCTATCTATCTATTCATCTGTCAGTCTGTCTGTCTATCTATATACACATCCATCCACCCACCCACCCATCCATCCATCTATCCATCCACCCACCCACCTATCTATCTCTATCCATCCATCCATCCATCTATTCATCTATCTATCCATCCCATCTATTCATCTATTTATTCATCCATCCATCCAATTCTCTATCTATCATCTATCCATCTATCTATTCATCTATCCATCCATTTCTCTATCTATTCATCCACCCACCTACCCATCCATGCTTTGGAAATCATAGGGAAGGATGGATGCCCCCGTGGTGTTTCCTTTGTTGCCTGTGCCCTGTGAGCTGTTCACAAGTCGGATGTTTACAACTCTGGAATCGCCTGGCATTTGAGCATGGCTCCCATGCCACCAGTTGACCCAACCCTAGCTGCCGAAGCCCCTCCTCAGAGGGATCCGGATCCCGAGTCACCAGACCTTTGACCCCACGGGTGGCCCTTCTCGGACCCAGATGTGTTCAAAGACAAGGGCCGAGATCTGTATTCCAATCCCATTCATATAGGAAGGTACTCAAGCAGATGGATGGATGGAGGGGCAATGCATTCCACCCCATTTTGGACAGGGCTTGGGCCCCCTGTCTCTCACCTGAGTGGGGGGCAGGTGGGGGCCCTGTGGGGGTCCGGCTGTCGGGGGCCGCTCCTCGGGGGCCAAGGGGAGCAGCGGGGGTGGAGATGAGACTGTGCTGTAGGCGGGGGGCACCAGGACCGCCTGGCGTTGCAGCAGCTGCAGGATGGCCGACACATCCGCGGTCAGGCGGCTCTCCAGTCTGCGGAGGGAAGCGGAGGCATGCGGTGACCCCCATCCAGGTCTGGTCCGAGCCCCAGCACTAAACCCCTCAGGGCATGACCCACGCTGGAAGGAAATGCCTGGAGGACCCCCTCCCAATGCCGTCACCCCAAGATGGGCCTCTTCTTTGGAACTCCAGACCTGGTCTTGATGGTCCACTCTAAGATCTACTTGCACAGAGCCTGGTTCTGGGATGCCCTCCAGACACCTTCTCAGGTATGGCAAACTTTCCCACCTCCAAGTGTTTTGGACTCCAACTCCCACAATTCCTAACAGCCGGTAGGCTGTTAGGAATTGTGGGAGTTGGAGTCCAAAACACCTGGAGGTGGGCCCAAGTTTGCCCTGGCTGGTCTATCTGCTTCCAGAAATGGAGCTTCAACCCTCAAAGGCCCATCTTAAGACCATCCCCCATTTCCATTGCAACCCTGAAGTCCCAGTATCCCCCGGTGAGCTCCCACTTGCCCCACCCCCTCTGCCCCCCCTCCATAACCCCCCCCCCCATGCAGCGTACCTGTTGATCTGCTTCTGGAGCAGGTCCAGGCGTCCCTCCAGCTCGGAGCGGTGCCGGTGGGGGGGTCCTCCGAGGAGGGCAGGGGGGCTGTTTCCGGCCAAAGGGATGTTGAGGGCGGTGGGGGGCGCGGGTGGGGGGACCGGGCAGCGGGGCAGCTCCTGGTACTGGCGGCCCCCCCGGCCCTCCCCCCAGAAGCTGAAGATGTTGGAGACCCCCGAAAAGGCCCCTGCCAGGAAGGGAAAGAGCAAAGGAGGGAAATGAGGTACCGGGCATGGTTGCTGATCATAGAAGCACAAAGATGGAAGAGACCCCAAGGGCCCCCCAGCCCAAGAAAGGTACCATCCAAGCCCCCTCGGAAGACATGTGGGGTGGGCTATTAAAGCAATCTGCACGTCTCCAGTCGTCAATGAGTAGCTAGACTAGAGATACAATTGGAGTAAGGGATTCCTGCCCCTACATCCCCATGTACTCTTCTTGCTTACCACTATCTCTCTTCTCCCCCCCCCCCCCCCCTTGAAGATGTAGCAATGGAATATATGAGAGGGATGAGGTAACTTCTTCCTTAAAGGTATTTATTTATTGCCCTGGGTTTTGACCATGTGGTCATTCTCCATTTTGGCCCTTTCTCTTCTGCCTTTGTCTCTCTTCCAGTGAGGACACACTTTGCCTCTCTCTCCAGGCAAAATGTAGCTGCATGGATACTTTTGATATTTTATCCTTTTACCTTCCTGAGAAGATGAGTTTAGTAAATTAGTCAGCTCCAAGACTCTCTTCTATCTATATGACTTCAATAAATATTTTGGCTATGTGGTCATTCTCCATTTTGGCCCTTTCTCTTCTGCCTTTGTCTCTCTTCCAGTAAGGACGCATTTTGCCTCTCTTTCCAGGCAAAATGTAGCTGCATGGAGACTTTTAATATGTTATCCTTTGACCTTCCTTAGAAGATGAACTTAGTCAGCCAGTTAGCTCCAAGACCCTTTTCTGTCTATATTACTTCAATAAATATTTTGGCAATGTGGCTATTCTCCATTTTGGCCCTTTCTCTTCTGCCTTTGCCTTCCTTCCAGTGAGGACACATTTTGCCTCTCTCTCCAGGCAAAATGTAGCTGCATGGACACTTGATATTTTATCCTTTTACCTTCCTTAGAAGATGAGCTTAGGAAACCAGTCAGCTCCAAGACTCTCTTCTATCTATATGACGTCAATAAATATTTTGGCCATGTGGTCATTCTCCATTTTGGCCCTTTCTCTTCTGCCTTTGTCTCTCTTCCAGTAAGGATGCATTTTGCCTCTCTTTCCAAGCAAAATGCAGCTGCATGGATACTTTTGTTTTTATTGTTGTATTGTTGGCTCGGCTTCATGTAAGACGCACCGAGTCCCTTGGGGAGATGGTAGCGGGGTACAAATAAAGTATTATTATTATTATTATTATTATTATTTTGATATTTTATCTTTTATCTTCCTTAGAAGACAAACTTAGTAAACCAGTCATCTCCAAGACCCTTTTCTGTCTATATTACTTCAATAATTATTTTGGCTATGTGGCCATTCTCCATTTTGGCCCTTTCTCTTCTGCCTTTATCTTCCTTCCAGGAAGGACACATTTTGCCTCTCTCTCCAGGCAAAATGTAGCTGCATGGGCACTTTTGGTATTTTATCCTTTGACCTTCCTTAGAAGACGAGCTTAGTAAACCAGTCAGCTCCAAGACTCTCTTCTATCTATATGACTTCAATAAATATTTTGGCTAAGTGGTCATTCTCCATTTTGGCCCTTCCTCTTCTGCCTTTGTCTCTCTTCCAGTAAGGACGAATTTTGCCTCTCTCTCCAGGCAAAATGAGGCTGCATGGATACTTTTAATATTTTATCCTTTTACCTTCCTTAGAAGATGAGCTCAGTAAATCAGTCAGCTCCAAGACCCTTTTCTGTCTATATTACTTCAATAAATATTTTGGACATGTGGTCATTCTCCATTTTAGCCCTTTCTCTTCTGCCTTTGTCTTCCTTCCAGTGAGGACACATTTTGGCTCACTCTCCAGGCAAAATGTAGCTGCATGGAGACTTTTAATATTTTATCCTTTGCCCTTCCTTAGAAGATGAGCTTAGTAAACCAGTCAGCTCCAAGACTCTCTTCTATCTATATGACTTCAATAAATATTTTGAACCTAAAGATGTGTCATAGAATCAAAGAGTTGGAAGAGACCTCATGGGCCATCCAGTCCAACCCCATCCTGCCAAGAAGCAGGAATATTGCATTCAAATCACCCCTGACAGATGGCCATCCAGCCTCTGTTTAAAAGCTTCCAAAGAAGGAGCCTCCACCACACTCCGGGGCAGAGAGTTCCACTGCTGAACTCTCACAGTCAGGAAGTTCTTCCTCATGTTCAGATGGAATCTCCTCTCTTGTAGTTTGAAGCCATTGTTCCATTGCGTCCTAGTCTCCAGGGAAGCAGAAAACAAGCTTGCTCCCTCCTCCCCTGTGGCTTCCTCTCACATATTTATACATGGCTATCACATCTCCTCTCAGCCTTCTCTTCTTCAGGCTAAACATGCCCAGCTCCTTAAGCCGCTCCTCATAGGGCTTGTTCTCCAGACCCTTGATCATTTTAGTCGCCCTTCTCTGGACACATTCCAGCTTGTCAATATCTCTCTTGAATTGTGGTGCCCAGAATTGGACACAATATTCCAGGTGTGGTCTAACCAAAGCAGAATAGAGGGGTAGCATTAATTCCCTGGACCTAGACACTATCCCCCTATTGATGCAGGCCAAAATCCCATTGGCTTTTTTTGCCGCCACATCACATTCCTGGCTCATGTTTAACTTGTTGTCCATGAGGACTCCAAGATCTTTTTCACACGTGCTGCTCTCGAGCCAGGCATTCCCCATTCTGTATCTTTGCATTTCATTTTTTCTGTCAAAGTGGAGTATCTTGCCTTTGTCCCTGTTGAACTTCATTTTGTTGGTTTTGGCCAACCATCTCTCTAATCTGTCAAGATCATTTTGAATTCTGCTCCTGTCCTCTGGACTATTGGCTATCCCTCCCAATAGTCCTTGCAATCCTGTACAAACCTGTGCAATGGAAACTAAGCCTGACTCACCACATGAAAGTTTCTGCTGGTTATGAAGTTTACTCATGGCACTCTGCTATATTCATAGTGGAATCACTCCAAGTGAGGGTTATATTTGAGCCTAACAGCTTTGATTCCCCAACAATTAACACTGCGTCCTATGCACAGTGAGCCGCCCTGGGTCCCAGTATTGCTAGAAAGGCCAGATGATAACTAAGTAAATACAACACACAAATCCCCTGTGATGGTGCACAGCCATGTAATCTCCCTTAAGGCAGCTTTTGCGCTGGTGGATAACAAAGCTGCCGTTGAGTTTACACTGGGAAGGGATATCATTCCATCCCTCGGCTCCGAAGGAGATCTTCCAGGTTTGGGAGATCACGACGAGATTGGCTCCTGCCCAGGATTGGGGATTTCTGCTTCCTAAGGTCGGCTCATCCCTTGTTATTCTTTCGGAAGCCCTTGATCCCGCCCTCGATACCACTTTTCCAAGGGTGGCTGTGGCCTCCTGGGTAAGAACTATCATCACCCCCCATCCAGGGCCATAGCCAGAAAAAGAATAGTTGAACAACATAAAATTATGGTAAATGGTATGGCACACTCTATATTTTCATATAAGGTAAAGGTTTTTCCCTGACATTAAGTCCAGTCGTGTCCGACTCTGGGACTCTGCGCTCATCTCCATTCTGTAACCGAAGAACCATAAAGGGTCTGGAGAACAAGCCCTATGAGGAGCGGCTTAAGGAGCTGGGCATGTTTAGCCTGAAGAAGAGAAGACTGAGAGGAGATATGAAGATAGCCATGTATAAATATGTGAGAGGAAGCCACAGGGAGAAGGAAGGAGCAAGCTTGTTTTCTAGGACGCGGAACAATGGCTTCAAACTACAAGAAAGAAGATTCCATCTGAACATGAGGAAGAACTTCCTGACTGTGAGAGCCGTTCAGCAGTGGAACTCTCTGCCCCGGAGGGAGTGTGGTGGAAGGAGGCTCCTTCTTTGGAAGCTTTTAAACAGAGGCTGGATGGCCATCTGTCAGGGGTGATTTGAATGCAATATTCCTGCTTCTTGGCAGAATGGGGTTGGATTGGATGGCCCATGAAGTCTCTTCCAACTCTTTGATTCTATGATTCTATGAACCAGCGTTGTCCGTAGACACCTTCAAGGTCATGTGGCCACTGGGAGGACTGCATGAAGAGCCGTTACCTTCCCGCCGGAGCGGTACCTATTGATCTCACATTTGCATGCTTTCGAACTGCTAGGGTGGCAGAAGCTGGAGCTAACAGCGGGAGCTCACCCTATGCCCCGGATTTGAATCTGCAACCTTTCAATCAGCAAGTTCAGTAGCTCAGTGGTATAACCCACTGCCCCACCGGGGGCACTTTATATTTTTATATTGTTATTGTTGTTGTTGTTCATTCATTCAGTCGCTTCCAACTCTTCGTGACCTCATGAACCATCCCACGCCAGAGCTCCCTCTCGGCCGTCACCACCCCCCCCCCCAGCTCCTTCAAGGTCAAGTCGGTCACTTCAAGGATGCCATCCATCCACCTTGTCCTTGGTTGGCCCCTCTTCCTTTTTCCTTCCATTTCCCCCAGCATCATTGTCTTCTCTAAGTTTTCTTGTCTTCTCATGATGTGGCCAAAGGACTTCATCTTGGCCTCCAATCTCCTTCCCTCCAGTGAGCACTCTATATTTTTATATAGACTTAATTAAATCTATTTTTTCTATTTTAGTTACAAAAATTTCAAGTCTTAAAAAAAACTGAAAACTGTTATTTGGTAATTTATAGTGACAAAAGAATACTACGACGTCTGTTGGAAACACTTGAAAACTGTGTCAATATGCTTTGACAGAAACCAGGCTCCACTGATAAACTTCGGTGGACGCTCAAGAGTGCCAGTCCAGTCAGCCTTTCTTGACCCATTGTGCTTCTTATGTATGTTTGCACATTTTTAAGAGTTGAAAATGACCTATATTTAGGCATGGCGATGGGAACCCTACTACTCATTTTTGCTTCTCATAGACTTAGCAGTATGCAGATTGGGTTAACCAGCCCTGCCCCCATCATCCTCTTGTTCTGTGCCCCCCCCCCCGCTCTCCAGATTGAAGTCCTCCCCACAACCCCCTCCCCCTTGAAGCCCCTCCCCCCGGGTCCTACCTGAGAGCGGGTTGCAGGCCTCTCCGCTTCGCTTGTGCTCCGCTGGGGGTGCAGGGGAGGGGGGCTGCCCGCTGGGGGTCGCAGGGGGGCCAAAGGGTGAGAGGTCGGCGTTGGAGGGGCGGGGGGCACTCTCTTCCTCCCCTTCCCCCTCATCACTGGAGGGGGGGCTGGAGGCCAGGGAGCTACTCAGGCAGGGCTCCCACTTGGGGGCCCCACAAGGGACCCCCTGGCAGTTCTGGCCCAGCAGCAGCGCCTTCGGAGGCTTGCCCTCATTGGTCTTTTCCTCGTCTGTGGAGAGAACCAGAAAGAAGACCCCAATGAAAGCCTTGATTGAACTGCACCCCTCTCCTCAACAAGCGTATCCCCCCCCCTCCCTCAAAGATCCAAAGTGGGGGGAGTTGGGACTGCTGCAAGTGTGGATCTTCCACGAGGCATCCATTCATCCCTCTGTTGCACCATTTGCAAAGGAGTCATGGCCAGGACTGGAAGTCTTGATGCTAACTTGTATGTCACATTCTTTGCAATGCAGCAGTGGTTCCCAACCTGTGGTCCATGGACCACCAGTGGTCCACAAGAACTAAAAGATGGTTCACAACCTCATGGTTACTACACCACTGCAACAATTACAACAAGTCTCGCGAACCCTCCTTATCGTGCCAAGGCTTATTAAATATGGTTTTCTGTGGATGAGCAGATGGGGACTACTGGATGGCATATGTTCTGTATCAGAAGCTAGAGCTGATGTGGTCTATCCAATGCAACTTTCTGAATCAGCACCCCAAATAATCAAACTGAATCTAAAGTTGACCAAAAACCGATTTGTAACCGTTTTGGGACCAGCGTTGGAGAGTGAGTGGTCCCTGGTCAAGGTGGTCCCTGGTCAAAAAAAGGTTGGGAACCACTGCAATACAGGGAAACTCCTCTGCTGACTTCCATCTTGGCAAAATGCTCAGCATGCCAAGCAAAGGCCAGGCTGTGTCTTGCAGAAGAACTGACCCCTTCCTCCAGGAATGGCAACCTTGAGGCCCCTGGGCATTGGACTAAACTCCCCGGAAGAATAAATGATGATGACGATGATGATGCACTGGAAAATTGAACTGTTTGTTGGAAATGCAAACTACGGACCTTGTCAACATCAGGAGAGGAATTTTCCAGGAAGACTCATTGTCTCCACCGCTTTTCATCATTGCCATGATCCCTCTGTCAACAATCTTACAACAAACAAACCTTGTCTATCTAACGTCTAAGAAATCTCACAAAATTTCACATTTGCTGTACATGGATGACCTGAAGCTGTGTGGGGAAACCGAAACCGAAATCCAGTCCCTGACTAATACTGTCCGAATCTTTAGCACTGACACCAACAGTGGGCACACTGGGTACAGTGCCAAAAGACCTCAGTTGGCATTTGGATACAATAAACGTTGACAAAATAACAAACTGTCAACTGCAAAAGGCCTCCTGACTTGGATCTGTGTGCATCATTTGAAAATACATCCCACAGTCCAAGACGCTTGGGAAGGGTTCAACTTGTGATTTTGTGATATGAAATCCAACATAGAGATCTCGTTTGCTGTGACATACTGTGCTTTTGTGTCAATAAAATAATAATAATAATAATACAACTTTATTTATATCCTATTCTATCTCCCCGGAGGGACTCGGGGCGGATTCCAAACATAAAAGGCCAACGTTCAATGCCCAAATACAACAACAATACATCCATACGAACAAAATTTAAACAACCCAACATATAAACACGAATTATGACTTAACAACTAAAATTAAATAAAAAACGTAGCCTGTTACAACAGACATAAGACAAAACATCAACCACTGAGCAGAACCCAAAGTGGCACAGCCAACAGTGGACGATGGGGAGGATTGTTGTTCAACATTCAAGGGCCACGAGGTGCCCATCTTTGGCACTATAAGAGGGTTTCGCAAGACCAGTCGCTCCACGAACCTCAGGTTGGGAACCACTGTATTCAAGGGTTGAATAGCCCTGTATTTCTTTCTCTGGCCTCCTGACCAATCCCAGGAGTTGTGGGGGGGGGGGGGGCAATCACCTTTCTCAGTCCTCCGGCGGAAGGAGAGCTTGCGGCGCCGCAGGCGGTTGAAGCCGCCATTCATTTCCTCGCTGCTGGGCGAACCTGGGATCATATTGGTCTGGAACATAATAGAAGTAACCATTAGTAGCCTTCAAACTGGCATTTGGGGAGGGGGGGCAGCACAAAGCATGTGTGTAGGAAAAGGAGTAGGGTAACCTCCTCCTCCTCTCCCAGAGGGTCACAACTCACGTCTCGCAGATTGAAAGTGATCTCCAGGTTGGACCAGAAGTGGTCGGAGAACTCAGGATACATGTCCAGCACCTCCAGCAGGTCTTCCCGGTGGATCTTGTGCAGGTCGCAGTAGGTCAGGGCCCTCACGTCCGCGTTGGACTTCCCCGGCCGCGCATAGAGGTTGAGGGGCTCCCCAAAGATGTCGTTCTTTCCTGGGGAGGGGAGCAACACAAGGCTTGACTTATGGAAGGTACCTCATAGATATGGGGCACCCCTTGCCCTAAGCAGCCCTGCTCCCTGCATTCACCCCACGTCCTTCTCTGCTGCAGGGGTCAGACTGGATGCCCTCTGAGGGTCTCTTCCAACTCTAGGATTCTAGGATTCTAGGCAGGACTTTTATCTTTCTGAGTTTGGAAGCCTGCTTCTAAGGGACACAGATTCCATACGTAAATGCACATTTCAGGACCCCCATTCCTTGGGGAGCAAAGGTGATCCAGGCTTTTGCAGGTGGGTTTGGGCCTCAGTCTTCTTTCAGGGAGAGGGAGGGTCATCTGTTTGAGCCAAGGATCTTGGAAGGGCATCATATAGCCAGTCATCCTATATCCAACTTACAAACAACTCATATTGTGTTTCCCCAAAAATAAGACACTGTCTTATATTTATTTTTCCTCAAGAAGACACACTATGGCTTATTTTCAGGGGGTGTCTTATTTTTATGCAGTATGGCACAACAATCCGCTTTTATGGGATGATCTCTCTGGGCTCAGGAGCAAACTGCTTGTTGAAGCTTTCCCCCTATCAATGCCCTGGTGTTTGTGGGGGGTGAAAGAAGCCCCTGTTGCTGGCTGGTCCTGGGGGAGAGAGACCCACAGTGCTGAATAAAACAGCAGCCACAGCTTTACTTCTTCCCCCTGAGGACACACCATTCCTAAAACAAAAGCTTTACTTTTTCCTCCTGAGGACACACAATTCCTAAAGCAAAAGCTTTACTTCTACCCCCTGAGGACACACAATTACTATAGCAAAAGCTTTGCTTCTTCCCCCTGAGGACACAGTATTCCCAAAGCAAAAGCTTTACTTCTTCCCCCTGAGGACACACCATTCCTAAAACAAAAGCTTTACTTTTTCCTCCTGAGGACACACAATTCCTAAAGCAAAAGCTTTACTTTTTCCTCCTGAGGACACACAATTACTATAGCAAAAGCTTTGCTTCTTCCCCCTGAGGACACAGTATTCCCAAAGCAAAAGCTTTACTTCTTCCCCCTGAGGACACACAATTCCTAAAGCAAAAGCTTTACTTCTACCCCCTGATGACACACAATAGCTAAAGCAAAAAACTTTCCTTCTTCTCCCTGAGGACACACAATTCCTAAAGTAAAAGCTTTACTTCTTCTCCCTGAGGACACACAATACCTAAAGCAAAAGCTTTACTTTCCCCCCCTGAGGACACACAATTCCTAGAGCAAAAGCTTTACTTCTTCCCCCTGATAACACACAATAGCTAAAGCAAAAGCTTTCCTTCTTCTCCCTGAGGACACACAATACCTAAAGCAAAAGCCTTATTTTTTCCACCTGATGACACACAATTTCCCAAAGCAAAAGCTTTAGTTCTTCCCCCTGAGGACACAGAATACCTAAAGCAAAAGCTTTACTTCTTCCCCCTGAGGACACACGATTCCTAAAGCCAAAGCTTTACTTCTTCCCCCTGAGGACACACAATTCCTAAAGCAAAAGCTTTACTTTCCCCCCCTGAGGACACACGATTCCTAAAGCAAAAGCTTTACTTCTTCCCCCTGAGGACACACGATTCCTAAAGCAAAAGCTTTACTTCTTCCCCTGAGGACACACAATTCCTAAAGCAAAAGCTTTACTTCTTCCCCCTGAGGACACACAATTCCTAAAGCAAAAGCTTTACTTCTTCCCCCTGAGGACACACAATTCCTAAAGCAAAAGCTTTACTTCTTCCCCCTGAGGACACACAATTCCTAAAGCAAAAGCTTTACTTCTTCCCCCTGAGGACACACAATTCCTAAAGCAAAAGCTTTACTTCTTCCCCCTGAGGACACACAATTCCTAAAGGAAAAGCTTTACTTCTTCCCCCTGAGGACACACAATTCCTAAAGCAAAAGCTTTATTTCTTCCCCCCGAGGACACACGATTCCTAAAGCAAAAGCTTTACTTCTTCCCCCTGAGGACACGCAAAACTTAAAGCAAAAGTCTTATTTCTTCCTCCTGAGGACACACAATTTCCCAAAGCAAAAGCTTTACTTCTTTTCCCTGAAGACACATGATTCCTGGCTGAAAGTACCCCACCCACTTACCAAGAATGGCCACCACCACGTCTCCGCGCAGGATCTCGATGGAGCCCCGGGAGATGAAGTAGAGGGCGGTGAGGACGTCTCCGGCGTGGACCAGGGTGTCCCCGGGGGGTGCGTGGGTGGTCTTGAACTTCATGGCCAGCGCCCGCAGGCAGCCCTTGGTGGCCCCCTTGAAGGGCCGGCAGTTCTGCAGGAGGGTGCGGTTCAGGTGCAGGCAGATGTCCGCCTGGAGGCACTCCGGGAAGCCCTTCAGCACCTGCAGCGGGTGGACAGGCCCAGGAGGAGCAAGGAGAGAAGAGCGCTGGAGAATCAACAACCTCCCACGCTTCTCTCACGCTGTGTCAGTCTCTGTCTAAGTGTTAGAGTGCCAACCTGTTAGTACAGCCATGGGCCAACATCAGCCCTCCCTCCAGGTGTTTTGGAATACCCTCCCCAAGGACAGTACTCAGAAGATGAGGAAGGGGATGCTGGGACAAATTCAGAGGGCTCAGAGGGGGACAGAAGCGGCCTGGAGAGAGTTGTTTTGGAATCTCTTAGCAGTTCCCACGAGACTGGAGAAAGTGGTATCAGTTCTCATGAGAATCTGCCAGAAGTACAGGCTGAGAGAAGTGTGGGAGACAAATGTTTGTCCAGATCAAGGTGCTTGGCACTTTGGAGGCAGATCATGCAACAGGGACAAACTCGCTTTTCCCAGAGGCTTAGAGATAAGGAAAGGAAAAGCAGGTGTGTGCGTAATGATGTCATGGGAGAGACTGAGGCCTTTTAAAGTGGTTTCTGCTGGTACAATCTTTTGTGAGAGCAGTGTTGTATTCAGGTGAACAGCTCTTGCTTTCTTGGTCCTATGTTTTTGGAAATTCATGTATTCAAGTTTCTAAGTTGTTCTTGTTTCTAGCAAAGTAAAGACTTAGTGTATATAGTTCAGATTTCAATATTAACATCAAAAATACGTAGTATGGTTTTACATAGGATTTGTGCTACTTTAGAACAGTAAAGACAAATGTCACTTCGGTAAAACAAACATTAAATATTAAATAACCAGAAAAATAAAATAAGGTGTAAACACTAAGCTAATCTGGGAATCTGCTGGGAATAAGGCAGGCACTGCTATTGGGTGACATAGAGTGCCTGCCTTGGATTCTTATCATGCTTCTGGATATATCTGTGGCTTGACTCCCAAGACTGTAAAGGTAAAGGTTTCCCCTGACATTAAGTCTACTCCGACTCTGGGGATGGGGCTCATCTCCCTTTCTAAGCCAAAGAGCCAGTGTTGTCCATAGACACCTCCAAGGTCATATGGCCAGAGGCATGACTTCATGGAGTGCTGTTACCTTCCCGCTGAAGTGGTAGAATCATAGAATCATAGAATCCTAGAGTTGGAAGAGACCTCTTGGGCCATCCAGTCCAACCCCATTCTGCCAAGAAGCAGGAATATTGCATTCAAATCACCCCTGACAGATGGCCATCCAGCCTCTGTTTAAAAGCTCCAAAGAAGGAGCCTCCACCACACTCCGGGGCAGAGAGTTCCACTGCTGAACGGCTCTCACAGTCAGGAAGTTCTTCCTCATGTTCAGATGGAATCTCCTCTCTTGTAGTTTGAAGCCATTGTTCCTTGTCCTAATCTCCATGGAGGCAGTAAACAAGCTTGCTCCCTCCTCCCTGTGGCTTCCTCTCACATATTTATACATGGCTATCATATCTCCTCTCAGCCTTCTCTTCTTCAGGCTAAACATGCCCAGCTCCTTAAGCCGCTCCTCATAGGGCTTGTTCTCCAGACCCTTGATCATTTTAGTTGCCCTCTTCCTCTGGACACATTCCAGCTTAGAGTCAATCTCTCTCTTGAATTGTGGTGCCCAGAATTGGACACAATATTCCAGGTAAAGTGGTCTAACCAAAGCGGAATAGAGCATGGGGAGCATGACTTCCCTAGATCTAGACACTAGGCTCCTCTTGATGCAGGCCAAAATCCCATTGGCTTTTTTTGCCGCCACATCACATTCCTGGCTCATGTTTAACTTGTTGTCCACGAGGACTCCAAGATCTTTTTCACACGTCCTGCTCTCGAGCCAGGACCACTTTCTTAATAATCTTTTCCTATTCATCTACTCACATTTGCATTTTTTCTAACTGCTAGGTTGGCAGAAGGTGGGGCTGACAGTGGGAGCTCAGCCCACTTTCCGATTTTGAACCACTGACCTTTTGGTCAGCAAGTTCAGCAGCTCAGGGGTTCAACCTGCTGCACCACCGGGGCTTCTTGAGACTGTATCTGAAGGAATTTTGGGACTCTTGGCTGTTTTGGAAATAACTTTTGGAACTTTGATTCCCTTTTCTAGCTTTGTTTCTTTTTATATACTCTTTTCTAAGTAAACTTTAACTTTTTGGATTATTGGAACAGTGTGTAGTTTGTGGTGAAAAGGTGTCTCAGGGTTCTAGTGCAGCAGGTCTGGCAGTATCTCTGGGGCCGGATGCACAATGGTGGCATTGCCCAGTGAGAGGGATCCCCACAGGACCCTCAGCAGAGAAGGGGACTGGGGCGCACTCTGGTCCCATGGCATGGCTGAAGGGATCTCCTATTTGCTTATCTAACCAGCAATGCAAAATGGTGAGGAAGGGGACAGGTGGACAGTCTGAGCAAAATAAGACACTAAGGAGTAAAGGATTCTTTTCTTCTTCTTCCTTTTAAGATGCCTCAAGCTGGAAGTGATACATGGAGAGAGAGAGTTTGTTTGAAAATGAAACAGTTACTTAAGTTTATTTGTATCATTCTTATGGTATAAGCGTAGTGGTTACATAAGATCAAATGCTTGAGGCTTATAGAGCAACGTTTCAATGTGAGTTTCTCTCAATATATTCCTTTTCCCCCAAAAGGACTTTTTTACTAATACTGTGCTGAACGAGGAGCTTCAGCTTCATTTTTTTTCCTATTGAGTGTTTGCATATATTCCAAGGTTCCATGCATTTGCAACAAGGTGGCTTTCCCTTGGTTTGCAATCATAGGGCTAGCCACCTGTCTATCATTGCTAAGTTTTGGCACCGGGATTGTGGGCGCAGCAGGCTGAGTGTCAGCTGCATTAAGATCACTCTGACCAAAAGGTCATGAGTTTGAAGCCAGCCCGGGTTGGAGTGGGTTTCCAACCAATTGTGTGTAGCCTGTTGTCGACCTTTGCAACCCGAAAGACAGTTGCATCTGTCAAGTAGGAAAATTAGGTACCACCTTAAAGTGTGGGGAGGCTAAATTAACTAATTTATGAGGCCATAAAAAAGATTCCAGCAAAAGCACTCCAGCAAAAAGTATGCGGGGAATGCGGAAGTACTTCATCAGTGTCACAGATGGATTATGAAAGTGACAGCTCCTCTGGTGATCAGAAAAAGTTAAATAGCCTCTGTGTATGTCTGTATATGTTTGTATGTCAAAAATTGGCATTGAATGTTTGCCATATATGTGTACACTGTAATCTGCCCTGAGTCCCCTGCTATGGGGTGAGGAGAAGGGCGGAATAGAAAAGCTGTAAATAAATAAATAAATAGGCTGTTCAGTTGGGCTTCTCCAATTGTCATCCTTGCCTCTGCCCCTCTTTCAAGTCTTGGCACCCACTCATTTGCATATGGCCAATCAGGTTGCTCTCATGCAAATAGCTCTCCACTGGTGATATCGTTCTCTGGGCACCACAAGGTAGGTCACTTCCTAACTTCCTAAAGTGAGTCAGGTTCGTTACAGGGACCATTCCAAATCATGGCTCATTGGTCAGAACCAGGAGCTTTTCCAACTGCGGACAATCCCCACCAGTCATGGAATGGCCAGAGGGAGGGGGAGATCTGTAGTGCAGGCTTTTAGGAGCGGCTAGTCAGGCGCAAGCCCTTCTTGACCACTCTCCTCTTCACCTTGGCCCTTCGCCCTTACACTGAGTGTTCACCCCCCCCCCCCCCCCCCGCCCGACAGTCCTGCGACCTGGACTCACGGCGTTCATGTCGATGCCATTGGTGTAGGACCAGGCGTGCTGGAAGTATTCCTCCAGGCGTTGGCGCAGCGGGTTGGGGATCTGGTGGAAGCGGATGAACTCTCGCACCCGCAGCATCTGGGTGTGGTAGCGGGCCGTGCCGGAGTAGAGCCGCTGGATGATGGCCGAGACATTCCCAAAGATGCTGGCATACATGAGCGCTGCAGCGGAAATGGGAGTAGGAGGAGGTGAGTGAGAGAGAGGAGGGGTCTTCAGTCCAGAGATGCCCCCTGCTCTCCCGGAGTCTTTGCCCGAGACTCAAACCACACAAGATCTGATGGAATACCATTAAATGCCACACAATCGCATGTTTAGCCAGTCCTTTCTCTACTGGGACTGCATTATATTTAGTCCCCGCCCCCCCCCCCTCCGCCCAAAAGCCTTGCAAAGTGGGTGAGGATGAGAAGATGTCTGGGTTTGATGGAATGCTGTTAAATTCAATATACTCTATTTACTCAAATCTAATGCTCATATTTTTGGCCAAATTACCTGGCCAAAACTAGGGTGCGCATTAGGTTTGGGTCGCATCACAGTCTTAGTGCTGAGCCAAAGCAAAAGGGGAAGGTGCTTCTGGAGCTGCGTCTAAAGATCCTCTTTGAGGAACTTAATCTCTAATTTAATGGTCATAGTTCAATGCTATGCTATCCTGGAATTTGTAGTTTGGTGAGGCATCAGGGTTTTGAAAATGAAGGTGTGCATTAGATTTGATGGTGCATAAGACTTGGGTAAATACGGGTAATTATGTGTTGAACCTGTCCTTCCTCTATTGAGACTACAGTACAGTGAGTCTCGCTCTCTCTCCTCCAAAGAACCCTGCAAGGTGTGATTTCCAAGAGGTGAGGGTCTTGGCTATCACCCTGCAGCCATGGCTTTGGGAGACCTAGCTCCCCCTTTGCCCCTGGTGCCCCCAACCCATACACCCACCCACTCACATCCGATGAGCATGACGCAGATGGAGAAGATCTTCTCGGGGTTGGTGTTGGGGGAGACGTTGCCGAAGCCCACACTGGTGAGGCTGCTGAAGGTGAAGTAGAGGGCGGTGATGTACTTGTCCTTGATGGTGGGGCCCTGGTGTGGCGTGGACTCATTGAAGGGCTTCCCAATCTGGCTGCCCAGCGAGTGCAGCCAGCCGATGGCCTTGCCCTCCATGTTGCCAATGGCGTACCAGATGCAGGCCAGCCAGTGCGCTATCAGCGCAAAAGTACACATCAGCAGGAAGAGCACCGCCGCCCCGTACTCCGAGTAGCGGTCCAGCTTGCGCGCTACCCGCACCAGCCGTAGCAGCCGTGCCGTCTTCAGCAGGCCGATTAGTGTGGTGGTCTGTGGAGAAGGAAGGAAGTGGACACAAACACAAATAGAGTGATTCTCAAGGTGTCTCACAGATGATTAAAATAGGCATGGGCCAACTTGGGCCCTCCCTCCAGGTGTTTTAGACTTCACACAATTCCTAACAGCCGGTTAGGGTTAGGGAATAGGGAGATAACTAGGGCAGTAGACACGATTGCTCCAGAATGCCCCCTCTTGAGTAACCAAGATAACCAGCCCCTTGGCAGTGATGAAGTGAAAGAAGAGGTGGTTAGAGTGAGTGTGGTGCTGAAAACGTAGCAGATCAGCCTGAGCACGCCTGGGCACCTTTTTAAGGACCTTTGACATGGCAATAAAGGCTGCACAGAAATCTTTGTTTGCAGCCAATATTGCGTCTGCAAAGAACCGTCCAGTTGAGCTGTTCCAAGTTGTCAGAAGGCTGTTAAATCCACCTCAGAACAGAATCCCTGGCAACTTGGCAGCTCACTGTGAAGCATTTGCTCGGTTCTTTGCGGACAAAGTCGCTCTGATCCATTCTGATTTTGATACCACATTTATGGCAATATCTGAGGACGTAACATGAGCACATGCTTGTCCAGTTTTGATGGATTCGTTTCAATTGGTTCAGCTTGAGGACGTGGACAAGATCCTGGGAGAGGCGAGAGCTACCACATGCATCCTAGACCCCTGCCCATCCTGGCTGATAAGAGAGGCCAGCGGAGGTTTGGCAGAGTGGGGTTTTTTTGTCATGTCAGTAGTGACTTGAGAAACTGCAAGTCGCTTCTGGTGTGAGAGAATTGGTCATCTGCAAGGATGTTGCCATGGGGATGCCAGGATGATTTGATGTTTTATCATCCTTGTGGGAGGCTTCTCTCATGTCTCTGCATGAGGAGCTGGAGCTGATAGAGGGAGCTCATCCGCACTCTCCCTGGATTCGAACCTGCGACCTGTCGGTTTTCAGTCCTGCCGGCACGGGGGTTTAACCCACTGCACCACTGGGGGCAGAGTGGGTGAAGGTGGTGGTTAATGCCTCCTTACAGGAGGGCAAAATTCCAGCCAGCTTAAAACAAACTATCATAAAACCACTGCTGAAAAAACCATCACTGGACCCCACTCAATTCATCAACTATCAGCCAGTTTCCAATCTCCCTTTTTTGGGCAAAGTCCTGAAACGTGTGGTGGCTTCGCAACTCCAGGTCTTCTTGAAAGACACTGACTATCTAGATCAGCATTTCTCAACCTGGGGGTCGGGACCCCTGTGGGGGTCATGAGGGGGTGTCAGAGGGGTCACCAAAGACCATCAGAAAACATAGTATTTTCTGTTGGTCATGGGGGTTCTGTGTTTGGTTCAATTCTATCGTTGGTGGGGTTCAGAATGCTATTTCATTGTGGGTGAACTATAAATCCCAACAACTACAACTCCCAAAAGGCAGGGTCTATTTTCTCCGAAGTCTACCAATGTTCACATTTAGGCATATTGAGTATTTGTGCCAAGTTTGATCCAGGTCCATCATTGCTTGAGTCCACAGTGTTCTCTGGATGTTGGTGAACTACAACTCCAAAAAACTCAAGGTAAATGTCCACCAGACCTTCCCAGTATTTTCTCTTCGTCATGGGAATTCTGTGTGCCAAGTTTGATTCAATTCCATCATTGGTGGAGTTCAGAAGGCTCTTTGATTGTAGGTGAACTATAAATCCCAGCAACTACAACTCCCAAATGACAAAATCAATACCCTCCCACCCCACCAGTATTCAAACTTGGGTGTATTGAGTATTTGTGCCAAATTTGGTCCAGTGAATGAAAATATATCAGATATTTACATTACGATTTATAACCGTAGCAAAATTACAGTTATGAAGTAGCAACAAATAATTTTATGGTTGTGGGGTCACCACAACATGAGGAACTGTATTAAGGGGTCGTGGCGTTAGGAAGGTTGAGAACCACTGATCTAGATCCAGCACAGTCTGCCATCTTGGAGTCCTCGTGGACAACAAGTTAAACATGAGCCAACAATGTGATGTGGCGGCAAAAAAAGCCAATGGGATTTTGGCCTGCATCAATAGGAGCATAGTGTCTAGATCTAGGGAAGTCATGCTCCCCCTCTATTCCGCTTTGGTTAGACCACACCTGGAATATTGTGTCCAATTCTGGGCACCACAATTCAAGAGAGATATTGACAAGCTGGAATGTGTCCAGAGGAGGGCGACTAAAATGATCAAGGGTCTGGAGAACAAGCCCTATGAGGAGCGGCTTAAAGAGCTGGGCATGTTTAGCCTGAAGAAGAGAAGGCTGAGAGGAGACATGATAACCATGTATAAATATGTGAGAGGAAGCCACAGGGAGGAGGGAGCAAGCTTGTTTTCTGCTTCCTGGAGACTAGGACGTGGAACAATGGCTTCAAACTACAAGAGAGGAGATTCCATCTGAACACGAGGAAGAACTTCCTGACTGTGAGAGCCGTTCAGCAGTGGAACTCTCTGCCCCGGAGTGTGGTGGAGGCTCCTTCTTTGGAGGCTTTGAAACAGAGGCTGGATGGCCATCTGTCGGGGGAGCTTTGATGTCCTGCATTTGGCAGAATGGGGTTGGACTGGATGATGGCCCAAGAGGTCTCTTCCAACTCTAGGATTCTATGATTCTACCACTTCAGCGGGAAGGTAACAGCACTCCATGAAGTCATGCCTCTGGCCATATGACCTTGGAGGTGTCTATGGACAACACTGGCTCTTTGGCTTAGAAAGGGAGATGAGCCCCATCCCCAGAGTCGGAGTAGACTTAATGTCAGGGGAAACCTTTACCTTTACAGTCTTGGGAGTCAAGCCACAGATATATCCAGAAGCATGATAAGAATCCAAGGCAGGCACTCTATGTCACCCAATAATTTTATGGTTGGGGGTCACCATAACATGAGGAAGTGTATTAAGGGGTTGTGGCGTTAGGAAGGTTGAGAACCACTGATCTAGATCCAGCACAGTCTGCCTTTAGTCCAGGACATGGAACTGAAACAGCCTTGGTCACCTTAGTAGATGATCTACGCCGGGAACTAGACAGAGGGAGTGTCTCATCGGTATTCGATACCGTTGACGACGGCATCCTTCTTGCACTTGAAAGGTGCAGAGGAAGGCTGGAGCTGTGTATGGCACACATGACTCAAGTGGCCAAGCCTGGCACCCGGCTTCCCCAAGGCATTCCTCTTCCGCTCAACGGAAGGGCTTTGAGGAGACACACACACACACCTGGCGCACACCTGAGGCTCTGGGACTGCCCTTGCTTCCTCCTCCTTGCCAGATTGGCTGCCCCACATGCGCCTGGCAGGATAGACGTGGCACCTCCCTCAGGACGGGACCCAGTTTCCTCCCAGGTCCCTGCAGTCGCCACGTGATGGGAAAGTGAGGGAAGGGGGTGAGGGGCAGAGAAGGCTGCAGGTGAATGCCAGGGAGGTCAACCTCCTTCTGGACTGGATGACCCTTCTAACTCCATATTCCCCCCTTCCTTCCACATTGAGGACAGACTTTGGGAGAGTAATGGTGCAAGGCCTGTCCCACCAACATCATGTCTTGGATAGAATCATAGAATCATAGAATCAAAGAGTTGGAAGAGACCTCATGGGCCATCCAGTCCAACCCCATTCTGCCAAGAAGCAGGAATATTGCATTCAAATCACCCCTGACAGATGGCCATCCAGCCTCTGTTTAAAAGCTTCCAAAGAAGGAGCCTCCACCACACTCCAGGGCAGGAGTTCCACTGCTGAGCGGCTCTCACAGTCAGGAAGTTCTTCCTCATGTTCAGATGGAATCTCCTTCTTGTAGTTTGAAGCCATTCCATTGCGTCCTAGTCTCAGGGAAGCAGAAAACAAGCTTGCTCCCTCCTCCTCCCTGTGGCTTCCTCCTCACATATTTATACATGCCCCTCATCATGTCTCCTCTCAGCCTTCTCTTTTGCAGGCTAAACATGCCCAGCTCCTTAAGCCGCTCCTCATAGGGCTTGTTCTCCAGACCCTTGATCATTTAGTCGCCCTCCTCTGGACACATTCCAGCTTGTCAATACCTCTCTTGAACTGTGGTGCCCAGAATTGGACACAATATTCCAGATGTGGTCTAACCAAAGCAGAATAGAGGGGTAGCATTACTTCCTTAGATCTAGACACTATGCTCCTCTTGATGCAGGCCAAAATCCCATTGGCTTTTTTGCCGCCACATCACATTCCTGGCTCATGTTTAACTTGTTGTCCACGAGGACTCCAAGATCTTTTCCACACGTCCTGCTCTCGAGCCAGGCGTCCCCCATTCTGTATCCTTGCATTTCGTTTTTCCTGCCAAAGTGGAGTATCTTGCATTTGTCACTGTTGAACTTCATTTTGTTAGTTTGGATGTTGCTGATTGTCTTGCTGATCCACATCTGCAGGTTTAATGCTATGTTTCAGTCTGGCTTTAATTTGGGGGTTCTTGGAGCCTCCAGTGGCGCAGTGGGTTAAACCCTTGTGCCGGCAGGACTGAAGCCCGACAGGTCTCAGGTTCGAATCCAGGGAGAGGCGGATGAGCTCCCTCTATCAGCTCCAGCTCTTCATGCAAAGGGGACATGAGAGAAGCCTCCCACAAGGATGATAAAAAACATCAAATCATCCAGGCGTCCCCTGGGCAACGTCCTTGCAGACGGCCAATTCTCTCACACCAGAAGCGACTTGCAGTTTCTCAAGTCACTCCTGACACGATAAAAATCAAATCAAATCTCATTTTAACTTCTGTATCTCATGGATTGTTAAGGACCATACTCGTGTCGATGTTGACCTTGGGGATAAGTTGAGGGCAGGTTTTTGAGCCAAAATTCGGAATGTTGATGTGACCTCTAGATAAGTCAGGGGTTCGGTGGCTGGGAGAGCCAGCATTTGAAAAGCCCAAGGGAAGGGAGATGATGCGTTTTCCAAGGCTTTCCAGGATGGAGTTTCCGCTATTCGGACAAGGGGGTGCATCCTTTTTTGGAGAGAGTTTAGGTAAAGTACTTATACCAACCCCTGGATAAGTCCAGGGTGACTAAAATGATCAAGGGTCTAGAGAACAAGCCCTATGAGGAGCAGCTTAAAGAGCTGGGCATGTTTAGCCTGAAGAAGAGAAGGCTGAGAGGAGACATAGAATCATATGAATCAAAGAGTTGGAAGAGAACCTCCTGGGCCATCCAGTCCAACCCCATTCTGCCAAGAAGCAGGAATGTTGCATTCAAATCACCCCTGACATGATGAGGGCCATGTGTAAATACGTGAGAGGAAGGCATAGGGAGGAGGAGGAGGGAGCAAGCTTCCTTTCTGCTGCCTTGGAGACTAGGACGCAATGGAACAATGGCTTCGAACTACAAGAGATTCCATCTGAACTTGGGCTAACAAGGACATGCAAATAGCCCTATGTAACACAATTTTTGATCCTGGGTTAGGTTAGGTAAAGATTTCCTCCGGACATGAAGTCCAGTCGTGTCCGACTCTGGGACTCTGGTGCTCATCTCCATTTCTAAGCCAAAGAGCCAGCATTGTCCATAGACGCCTCCAAGGTCATGTGGCCATTGGCATGACTGCATGGAACGCTGCTACCTTCCTGCCAGAATGGTACCTATTGATCTACTCACATTTGCATGTTTTCAAACTGCTAAGTTGGCAGAAGCTGGAGCTAACAGCAGGAGCTCACCCTTTGCCCTGGATTTGAATCTGCAACCTTTCAATCAACAAGTTTAATAGCTCAGCGGTTTAACCCACTGCACCACTGGGGGCACCTTATATTTTTATATATTTTATTTATTTATCAAATTTTTATATATATAGACTTAATTAAATCAATTACAAAATTTCAAGTCTTAAAAAAACTGAGAATGACTGTTATTTCATAATTTATAGTAACAAAAGAATACCATGACATCTGTTGGAAACACTTGAAAACTGTGTCAATACATTTGCATGTTTTCAACCTGTTAGGTTGGCAGAAGCTGGGGCTAACACTGGGAGCTCACCCCGCTCCTTAGATTTTAACCGGCAACCTTTCGGTCAGCAAGTTCAGCAGCTCAGCGGTTTAACCCACTGCGCCACCGGGGGCACCTTATAATTTTATATAGACTTAATTAAATCAATTTTCTATTTTAGTTACAAGATTTCAAGTCTTTAAAAAAACCTGAGAATGACTGTTATTTCATAATTTATAGTAACAAGTGTTGGAAACACTTGAAAACTGTGTTAATACATTTGCATGTTTTCAAACTCTTAGGTTGGCAGAAGCTGGGGCTAACACTGGGAGCTCACCCCGCTCCCCGGATTCATACCGGTGACCTTTTGGTCAGCAAGTTATACCATGACTGTTGGAAACACTTGAAAACTGTGTCAATACATTTGGATGTTTTCAAACTGTTAGGTTGGCAGAAGCTGGGGCTAACACTGGGAGCTCATCCCGCTCCCCGGATTCAAACCGGCGACCTTTCGGTCAGCAAGTTCGGTCAAGGGGCTCCTGGGTTATAAATATTATTTTCTAATTGGTTCTATCATAAAAAAAACATGGGAAAAGAGACGTTATCCTGCAACACATTTTGCTCTAGTTTTTCAATGAATATCTCATCATAGCATCTCAACCAATTCAACCTAGTTTGTATCACACAAACAATGTTTCTGGAGTATAGCAACGTTGTGGTTCTTACTTTCAAAGTAATGACCGCACAATTACACAGGAAACAACCCTTTTGAACCAGGGATAGGGGACCCCATGTGGAAGGCCTACCTCCTCAGATCCGGACCCGAAGATGAGGAGGTCGAAGGGGATGGCGGCCACCATGTCAATGAGGAACCAGCCCTTGAAGTAGTGGATGGCGATCTTCCCCGGGTGGCTGACCACCTCCTCGTTGGTGTTGACGTAGGTGGTGCGGAAGTTGATGAGGATGTCGATGATGAACATGATGTCCACGATGAGGTCCACCACGTTGAGCGGGCTGCAGGAGTAGCCGCAGGAGCGCCTGGCCGGCTCGTCCCGGTCGTTCAGCAGGAAGGCCGCCGAGTAGGGCGTGAAGATGGCCGTGTAGATGACCAGCAGCAGGATCAGCCAGTCCCACACCGCCTTGAAGGGGCTGTAGTGCAGGATGGTCCACTTGTGGATGCGTGGCGCCTGCAGCTTGTACTCCGGGAGGACGTCCGCACCGAGGGACAGCACCTGCAACAAGGAGAGGGGTCAGAGATGGCCAACCAAGAAGGGACTCTCCTACAGAGTCAGAAAATTGCACTGGATAGACCACATCAGCTCTCGTTTCTGATACAGAACATATATCACCCAGTAGTCACCATCTGTAGTGCAGATTTCAGAAAATTGCATTGGATAGACCACATCATATCTAGTTTCTGATACAGAACATATACTACCCAGTAGTTGCCATCAACAGTGCAGATTCAGAAAATTGCATTGGATAGACCACATCAGCTTTCGTTTCTGATACAGAACATATACAACCCAGTAGTCACCATCTGCAGTGCAGATTCAGAAAATTGCATTGGATAAACCACATCAGCTCTAGTTTCTGATACAGAACACATGTCACCCAGTAGTCACTATATGAGGTACAGATTCAGAAAATTGCATTGGATAGACCACATCAGCTCTAGTTTCTGATACAGAACATATACTACCCAGTAGTCGCCATCTGCGGAGCAGATTCAAGAAATTGCATTGGATAGACCACATCAGCTCTAGTTTCTGATACAGAACATATGCTACCCAGTAGTCACCATCTGTGGTGCAGATTCAAGAAATTTGCATTGGATAGACCACATCAGCTCTAGTTCCTGATACAGAACATATACTACCCAGTAGTCACCATCTGCGGTGCAGATTCAGAAAATTGCATTGGACAGAGCACATCAGCTCTAGTTTCTGATGCAGAACATATACTACCCAGTAGTCACCATCTGCGATGCATATTCAGAAAATTGCACTGGATAGACCACATCAGCTCTCGTTTCTGAAACAGAACATATGTCACCCAGTAGTCACCATCTGCGGTGCAGATTCAAGAAAATTGCATTGGATAGACCACATCAGCTCTAGTTTCTGATGCAGAACATATGCTACCCAGTAGTCGCCACCTGTGGTGCAGATTCAGAAAATTGCATTGGATAGACCACATCAGCTCTAGTTCCTGATACAGAACATATACTACCCAGTAGTCGCCATCTGTGGTGCAGATTCAGAAAATTGCATTGGATAGACCACATCAGCTCTAGTTTCTGATACAGAACATATACTACCCAGTAGTCGCCATCTTTTTTGTATTTTTTTTTGTATGCTGTATTTTGCACCTGTTTTTCTATGTTGTACACTGCAATGAGTCACCATTAGGCTGAGAATTGCGGTATATAAGCGAAGTAATAATAAATAAATCTGCGGTACAGATTCAGAAAATTGCATAGGATAGACCACATCAGATCTAGTTTCTGATACAGAACATATACTACCCAGTAGTCATGATCTGAGGTGCAAATTCAGAAAATTGCACTGGATAGACCACATCATCTCTAGTTTCTGATACAGAACACATGCAACCCAGTAGTCACCATTAAAAAACAAACAAACTCAAAGTTTGCTGGCTTGGTATTCTATCAAATGTCCTTTAGGGATGGGAGGGAAGCCTCCCCGCAGGATTGCAAGACATCCGGGTGTCCCCTGGGCAACGTCTTCGTAGACAGCTGATTCTCTCACTCCAGAAGTGACCAGAAGCGACTTGCAGCATGCCACCAAACAAGCAAAGCAAATAAAATCAGGATAGTAAATAAAGGCAGGGGAGTTCCAGATAAGAAACAATCAGGGACAGCTAGTCACCTCTCAACAAAGGATTCCCCCAGGCACTAACAAGCCACACCTAAAGACTGCCAGGCCATCAAATGCTAATCAAGGTGGCCAATGGAAACATTCACACCTGCCTCCAACAGACAAGAGTTCTTTCTCCCAAACCAGACCTTCCACAGATATGCAAACCCAATTTTCCTAGTTTCCAGCAGACCTCACAACTTCTGAGGGTGTTTGCCACAGATGCAGGCGAAACATCAGGACTGAATGCTTCTAGAACATGGCCAGACAGCCCAAAACACCTACAACAGCCCTGTGATTCCGGCCATGAAACCCTTTGACAATACATCAGACTGGAAATGTTTAAGCAGAGGCTGTCAGGAGTGTTTTAATGGTGCCTTCCCATCTTGGAGAAGGGGGCTGGACTGGATGGCATTCGGGGTCTCCCCCATTCCTAAGATTCTGTGGGGAGGATTCCTGGGTCAGAGAAGTGTGTGGGGATGGGGCATGGGCCTATTGCTCCCCCTCCACGGTCACTTTGACCCCTATGGCATAGAATCCAAGAGTTGGAAGAGACCTCCTGGGCCATCATCCAGTCCAACCCCATTCTGCCAAGAAGCAGGAATATTGCATTCAAATCACCCCTGACAGATGGCCACCCAGCCTCTGTTTAAAGGCTTCCAAAGAAGGAGCCTTCACCACACTCTGGGGCAGAGAGTTCCACTGCTGAACGGCTCTCACAGCCAGGAAGTTCAGATGGAATCTCCTCTCTTGTAGTTTGAAGCCATTGTTCCATTGCGTCCTAGTCTCCAAGGAAGCAGAAAGGAAGCTTGCTCCCTCATCCTCCCTGTGGCTTCCTCTCACATATTTATACATGGCTATCATCATGTCTCCTCTCAGCCTTCTCTTCTTCAGGCTAAACATGCCCAGCTCCTTAAGCCTCTCCTCATAGGGCTTGTTCTCCAGACCCTTGATCATTTGAGTCGCCCTCCTCTGGGCGCATTCCAGCTTAGAGTCAATCTCTCTCTTGAATTGTGGTGCCCAGAATTGGACCCAATATTCCAGGTAAAGTGGTCTAACCAAAGCAGAATAGAGCATGGGGAGCATGACTTCCCTGGACCTACACACTAGGCTCCTCTTGATGCAGACACAGCCGCCTTGCTCTCCAAGGAACGCAGAGGTGGGTCTCTTTGGAAGTGCAAGGCCTCCCTCCACACAGAGACAGATACAGACAGACTCGGGCACGCCATGCCTTGTGCGCATGCGCTCCCCCTCCTCCTGCCAAGGCCGAGCCAAGGGAGCATCAGCCGCTGCGTGGCCAAGCGTGAGGGGAAGCGGCCTCAGGCAGGAGCTGTCCCTCGGTGGCGGCTGCAGCGGCTCATCCTCCCTGACAAGTGGCGCGTGGCTTTGGCTTTGGCGCAGGCTCACAAGGCGCCCCACACGGCTCTCTCTCTCTCTCTCTCTCTCTCACGCACCTTCTTCCTCTGATGCTCCAGCACTGCCTCCCCCCTCCCATAACAGACAAGGCCAAAACAGACACGAGTGGGGGCCCAGCCCCACCTCCACTGCTCATGCACGTCTTCCCAGTGGGTCCTGAGGGCTCTGCGCGTGGACAGAGAAGCATTATTATGATTATTAGATACACAACAAGATTAGTACACATCATTATGCTGGCTGTTGTACTGGATCACATGTCGGACACTTCCCAAGTGTCTAGGATTGTGTGATGTATCGACGAACAATGAGTGCAGAACCCAGTAGGGTAGCCTTTTGCAGCTGGCAGATCGTAATTTTGTCAGCACTGATTGTTTTTAAGTGCAGGCCAAGGGCTTGAGGCAATGCACCCAGGGTGCCGATCACCACTGGGACCCCCTTTATTGGCTTGTGCCAGGGTCTTTGCAGTTCAATCTTTCTATCTTCGTATTGCATCAGCTTTATTATTAGTAGTAGTAGTAAAGGTAAAAGTTTCCCCTTGACATCTAGTCACTTCACTTCGTTGTTCATTCTTCGTTCAGTCGTCTCCGACTCTTCGTGACCTCATGGACCAGCCCACGCCAGAGCTCCCTGTCGGCCGTCACCACCCCCAGCTCCTTCAAGGTCAGTCCAGTCACTTCAAGGATCCATCCATCTTTCCCTTGGTCGGCCCCTCTTCCTTTTTCTGACTCTTCGTGACCTCATGGACCAGCCCACGCCAGAGCTCCCTGTTGGCCATCACCACCCCCAGCTCCTTCAAGGTCAATCCAGTCCCTTCAAGGATGCCATCCATCCATCTTGCCCTTGGTTGGCCCCTCTTCTTTTTCTGACTCTTCATGATCTCATGGACCAGCCCACGCCAGAGCTCCCTGTTGGCCGTCACCACCCCCAGCTCCTTCAAGGTCAATCCAGTCACTTCAAGGATGCCATCCATCCCTCTTGCCCTTGGTTGGCCCCTCTTCCTTTTTCTGACGCTTCGTGAACTCATGGACCAGCCCACGCCAGAGCTCCCTGTCGGCCATCACCACCCCCAGCTCCTTCAAGGTCAGTCCAGTCACTTCAAGGATGCCATCCATCCATCTTGCCCTTGGTCGGCCCCTCTTCCTTTTGCCTTCCACTTTCCCCAGCATCATTGTCTTCTCTAGGCTTTGCTGTCTCCTCATGATGTGTCCAAAGGACTTCATCTTGGCCTCTCATCTCCTTCCCTCCAATGAGCAGCCGGGCTTTATTTCCTGGAGGATGGACGGGTTGGATCTTCTCGCAGTCCAAGGCACTCTCAGAACTTTCCTCCAACACCACAGCTCAAAAGCATCTCTCTTCCTTCGCTCAGCCTTCCCTAAGGTCCAGCTCTCACATCCGTAGGTGACTACAGGGAATACCATGGCTTTGACTAGGCAATGGATCTTGGTTGCCAGTCTGATGTCTCTACTCTTCACTATTTTATCCCTTCCCTTCACTTTATTTCTTAATTAGTCGCTCTCCACCAAGGTGCTCCGAGCGACTTACAATCTAAAATAGCATTTACACAATATAAAAACATTCAACATAAAAACATTCAACAGTGACTATTTGGCAAATTAGATCTGATTACTTAAATGCACAACCAAACAGCCAAGTCTTAGAATCATAGAATCATAGAATCCAAGAGTTGGAAGAGACCTCCTGGGCCATCGTCCAGTCCAACCCCATTCTGCCAAGAAGCAGGAATATTGCATTCAAATCACCCCTGACAGATGGCCATCCAGCCTCTGTTTAAAAGCCTCCAAAGAAGGAAGGAGCCTCCACCACACTCCCTCCGGGGCAGAGAGTTCCACTCCTGAACGGCTCTCACAGTCAGGAAGTTCTTCCTAATGTTCAGATGGAATCTCCTCTCTTGTAGTTTGAAGCCATTGTTTCATTGC